TGGAGGAGGCTCACCATACAAAGATACAGCAGTTATTGAACTCAGTGAGTACATGTAAATACAAATGTATTGAATATACACAATTTGTACATATTGAATATAATAATTATAAATTAACAATATAAATAGCTTTTATAGTATTATTGCTATAATACATGTTAGGACACAAAGTCTGTAGTACATTAATTTCTAGTCTGTATTACATTAATTTCTCTATCATTCTGTCGTCATAAATTTTTCAAATTCATGACCAGTGTGTCTATTTGTCTATTAGTGCGTGGGCGGTTGCTCTTTGTGTCCTAATTTCATGTACTTGTCATTAGTTGAACTATTGTGTTACTGTATAGGATATACTAGTAATAATGATTGGTCTACTAGTATAATACCTCTGGACCAGTATCAAGAGAAACTACAAGAAAGGAGAAGAGAATGGGAAGCATCTCAACCTGTTCAACCTGAGGATAGAAGAGAAATAGACCGTCTGACACGTGTACTACAAGAAAGGGAAATGGAACTAGAGGAGGAGAGAAGAGAAAAGGAACAAGTTAGAAACAGACTACAGCAACAACTTCAAGGAAGAGAACGACAACTTCAACAAGCACAGCAACAAGGACAAGAAAGAGAGAGGCATGCCAGAGAAAGAGAGCAGGATCTTCAACGGCAGCTTCAGGAAAAGGAGAGACAACTTCAACAGGCACAGCAGCAGCTTCAATCAAGAGAGAGAGAATCTCAAGAAAGTCAGCAACAGCTTCAAAGGCAAGTAGAAGGTGGCCAGCAAAAAGAACAGGATCTTCAACGACAGCTTCAAGAAAGAGAGCAACAGCTTGAGGAAAGAGAGAGAGAGTTCCAAGAAAGAGAGAGACAACTTGAAGAGCAGATACAAGTGGCAGAGTCTTCCTGGGTAGTGAATAGAAGAGAGATTACAATGACAGAGGTAGTCCTTGGTAAAGGAGGATGGGGAGAGGTGAAAGTGGCCGGGTTTCGTGGTCTGAAGGTTGCTGCAAAGTGTCTCTACGAAGTCATAATCTCTCCTTATAACATTGGGACATTCTCTCGTGAAATGAATATTGCTTCTAAAATACGTCATCCTAACCTCCTTCAGTTCATAGAAGCGACTACAGAGGGTAATCCAATCATCCTGACAGAGCTAATGCTGACGAGCCTAAGAAAGGAATTAGAGAGTGGAGGAGTGGCCTATCCTGCAATACTGAGCATCAGTTTAGATGTAGCCTGTGCTCTCAATTACCTTCATCTCTTCAAGCCTCATCCTATACTACATAGAGATGTCAGCAGTGCTAATGTACTCCTTCAATATGTAGGCAACAGTTGGAGGGCTAAAGTATCAGATTACGGTACAGTTAGTCTCCAACCTCTTACTAAAACAAGCAATCCTGGTAATCCTGTCTATTCAGCTCCAGAGTCTCCCTACCCAAATCAACATTCTCCTGCAATGGATGTCTTCAGTTATGGTGTCCTCCTTATAGAGATGGTTGTTTGTGAGTTTCCAGACGTAGGAAAGAGAGTGGCTCAGATTAAAGCTATCAAGAGGCTGGCATTGAAGAATCTCATTGAACGTTGTCTGATGCAGAACTACAAAGATCGTCCAACAATGTCTGACATTATAAAAGAATTGAATGAAAGCATTTAGTGATGTAGTGAATTTAGTGATGTAGTGTGAATTACCATTTTTATTTAGATTATTTTTAGTTTTAGATTTTGTTTTTTTTTGCTTAATTTAAAATTGTGTTCTTTGACTTTTGCTTTAAATTTTTGAAGATTTAATATTAATTTTTAAACTGTTTCAAGTGTCCCGAAATGTACGAGAACTACCAGCCCGTTTTTAACGACCTGGGGGCGAAGCCCCCGGGTCGTTCCTATAATCATAGATATACTAACACATGGATTGGAAAAGGGTGAAAAATTAGATGAGGAGGCGTGTTATGCTTACGTAATTGAGTGGGTGTAGTCATAACATATGGATCAAAATGGCTGCCTTATAGATGTAAAATTACAAACCCTGTTTATTGAATATTTCTTGACTCTATAGTATCACTGACACTTGATAACAATTCTATAATGTAAACACTAATAGTTGGAACTATTAGTTGTATATCTAATAATATATCATAATATCTAATTAATATCTAATTGTATATCACTAATTGTTTGTATATCTATGCTATAATTGATTTCACCGTCGCGCTATCTATATATATATATATATTTGTATGTCCACACTTACATTTCTTCTATACATGTTGTATTGGAGAAATAACAAGCCTTAGCAACCACCCGCCCACGCTTTTTTAACGTAAGTGGGTGTGGTCACGGAAAACAAAATGGCGGCTTACACACGGGACAAAGTTATGAGCTTTCTAACAGCCAGAGAACATAGAGATACTGTCTAACAACTTTTCTAGAAGCATTTGCAGGTAGAGAGAACCTCTATAAGTCTTAATAAGTGCCTAGCTATGCATGCAAGGTGGTGAAATCAATTATAGGAATTATTTTTACACTGTTACGCTTGTTAGTTTGTGCGCATGCCCAGAAGGAGCACGTGAATTAAAATGGCTGACGTTAAAGAGGTAAGACTATGATTATCCTTTAAAACAGGGGCGGATCTAGGATTGGATTTTTGGGTGGGCCTTGATGATTTGGGTGTGATAATTAGTGGGTGTGGCCAACAAGGCCTGCAATCAAAGTCAAAATTTTGAAGATTAAAGCTGTTAAAATGAGCTCCTTTGTGGTTTAATAATTGTTTGCATAGTCATGCTTCACAGTTTACATAGTCATCCACATAAAAAAGTTGATTTTAAATTACTGCACAAAATTTTTGGGTGGGCCTGGCCCACCCTGGCCCACCCCTAGATCCGCCCCTGCTTTAAAACACTCCTTTTATCATGCCCTATAGAATGGGGAAAGTGAATCAAGAAAGAGAAGAAGAAGATTTGATTCAGGAGTGGATGAAAGTGAGATAGTTTTCTAGAAAATTTGATGGTTGAAACTTGAAAATAAAATTAATAATAATTTTGTCTGTGTCATTTTTCTCTCTCTCCCAAGCATACAATTACCTGATATTATTATATTACACTACATATGTATCTCTTTTTCTTTCTTTTTTGTTTGATATCGCCATTTTGTCACTATAAGGCTAACAGAGCGATTACCAAAGGAGGAAGAGAATCACACATTGACAGTGATGGGTACTTTTCTCTCATTAATTAAATCATTCGTAA